AGAAAAAAGTCAGAATTGTGAGAAAAAAGTCAGAATTGTGAGAAAAAAGTCAGAATTGTGAGAAAAAAGTCAGAATTGTGAGAAAAAAGTCAGAATTGTGAGAAAAAAGTCAGAATTGTGAGAAAAAAGTCAGAATTGTGAGAAAAAAGTCAGAATTGTGAGAAAAAAGTCAGAATTGTGAGAAAAAAGTCAGAATTGTGAGAAAAAAGTCAGAATTGCAAGAAAAAAGTCAGAATTGTGAGAAAAAAGTCAGAATTGCAAGAAAAAAGTCAGAATTGTGAGAAAAAAGTCAGAATTGCAAGAAAAAAGTCAGAATTGTGAGAAAAAAGTCAGAATTGCAAGAAAAAAGTCAGAATTGTGAGAAAAAAGTCAGAATTGCAAGAAAAAAGTCAGAATTGTGAGAAAAAAGTCAGAATTGCAAGAAAAAAGTCAGAATTGTGAGAAAAAAGTCTGAATTTCTAAAAAAAAGTCCGAATTGTGAGAAAAAAGTCTGAATTTGCAAAAAAAAGTCCGAATTGTGAGAAAAAAGTCTGAATTTGCAAAAAAAAATCCGAATTGCAAAAAATGTCAGAATTGTGAGAAAAAAGTCCGAATTGCGAGAAAAAAGTCAGAATGGCGAGATATAAAGCAATTCTGTGTTTTCTTCCCCTCAGAATTGTGGTAAAAAGTCAGAACTAAGAGACAATTATCTTTTTTTAATCCCGTGGTGGAAACAAGCTTCCATAGAAAAGAAAACAAAGCAAAACAGCTCAAGATCTTGTCTTTAGTGTCAGTGCTCGTACCTGTACCACAGATTCTCCGTGTGTCCCGGCATACTGAAACGACTCCTGTAGTGGGAGAAGTTACTGGAAAAATAAACACAGACAGAAAATCACAGACTGAAAACCACAGCAGCCGTTACTGAGTTACACAGTGAACATATTCAGGCCTTCAAACGACGCGAGCGCTGAAACCGACACCAGCGAGAAACAGAAAAACACTAAACGCTCTCGTGTCTCACACGGACAGGGTTAACTCAGGGTCACTGTCAGTGACCTCAGAGGGTGGGGTCAAAGGTCAAGAGGATGCGGGGGTTCAGGATCATTTTTTTGAGTTTCCGTTGTGCTGGTATGGATGTGCTGAGAGCTCACAGGGGTCATGAGGTCAAGTCTAGGAAAACATCTGGCCAGACATTTACAGAATATTTCACTGAGCCCAAAAACCACCTCTACACATAGTCAATCACTCTTAACATCGATCCAGAGGTTTGTGCTTCCCTCCAGTGGTCACAGTGAGGTCAGCACTCAAACTACTAACTAGTTCACTAAAAAACATGAAAAGTCAGCAGGCTGTCCTCTGAATCACTTACTAAGACGGATGTGAAACTGAATAAATTATTCAGCAGCCGGTCAGATTACAAATACAGTGCAAAAAGCATTTTTTGTCTTATCTAAACATTCTTAAATCAAGATACATTTATTCTTAAAACATTCTTATTCTTATTCTCATTTTTAGAACAAATATTTATTTTATTTATTTATGATTTAACGTCGTGTCAGCAGCAATGGTTATATTCATGCCAAAATCAATGGTATTTAAATTTTAAATTACGTCATTTCAATACATTTTTTAAAATAATTTAAGAATTTTGTCTTAAAAAACAATTAACATGCAAAAATACACATTTATACTTTAAATAGCAATAACAACAACAATTATATGGAATCGTTCAATTTAATATGTGATAAAAATTTTAAAATGATTCCAGGAGAAACCTTTTAAAAAATGTCCTTAAATATATTTTCTGAATAAAATCGTTGTTTAATATCATTTAAAAATAGACATTCTATTAGAGTTAATCCCGTGGTGGAAACAAGCTTCCATAGAAAAGAAAACAAAGCAAAACAGCTCAAGATCTTGTCTTTAGTGTCAGTGCTCGTACCTGTACCACAGATTCTCCGTGTGTCCCGGCATACTGAAACGACTCCTGTAGTGGGAGAAGTTACTGGAAAAATAAACACAGACAGAAAATCACAGACTGAAAACCACAGCAGCCGTTACTGAGTTACACAGTGAACATATTCAGGCCTTCAAACGACGCGAGCGCTGAAACCGACACCAGCGAGAAACAGAAAAACACTAAACGCTCTCGTGTCTCACACGGACAGGGTTAATTCAGGGTCACTGTCAGTGACCTCAGAAGGTGGGGTCAAAGGTCAAGAGGATGCGGGGGTTCAGGATCATTTTTTTGAGTTTCCGTTGTGCTGGTATGGATGTGCTGAGAGCTCACAGGGGTCATGAGGTCAAGTCTAGGAAAACATCTGGCCAGACATTTACAGAATATTTCACTGAGCCCAAAAACCACCTCTACACATAGTCAATCACTCTTAACATCGATCCAGAGGTTTGTGCTTCCCTCCAGTGGTCACAGTGAGGTCAGCACTCAAACTACTAACTAGTTCACTAAAAAACATGAAAAGTCAGCAGGCTGTCCTCTGAATCACTTACTAAGACGGATGTGAAACTGAATAAATTATTCAGCAGCCGGTCAGATTACAAATACAGTGCAAAAAGCATTTTTTGTCTTATCTAAACATTCTTAAATCAAGATACATTTATTCTTAAAACATTCTTATTCTTATTCTCATTTTTAGAACAAATATTTATTTTATTTATTTATGATTTAACGTCGTGTCAGCAGCAATGGTTATATTCATGCCAAAATCAATGGTATTTAAATTTTAAATTACGTCATTTCAATACATTTTTTAAAATAATTTAAGAATTTTGTCTTAAAAAACAATTAACATGCAAAAATACACATTTATACTTTAAATAGCAATAACAACAACAATTATATGGAATCGTTCAATTTAATATGTGATAAAAATGTTAAAATGATTCCAGGAGAAACCTTTTAAAAAATGACAATAACAATAATAATAATAACAATAAATATAGCTGCAAGCAGTGATTATTGGGGTTCAAGCGCTTTAAGGCATTTAAGCACATATGAAAAAAGACATTACGTATTATTTAGCAAGCCTGTAACCACCTAAATCAATGATTTAAAAAAGCATTTTTGGCAAATCCAGGTAATTAACCATAGAAATATGACGATTTTTTAATGTTTATGACTGTTACAGCGCCACCTATGGCCGGAGTGGAGGAGTTTGCCAAAGTAGGTTTTTTTAAATAATGTCAAATATTTAAAGAACAGTTTGATTGACAGCAGTCCTATAGGCAAAGTTATTCAGAATGAGGAGATCAATCGTACGAAGTGAAGATCTAGTGTATGCGTGAACCATAGACATATAGTTTACCATAGAAATATAGTGTTTTTGAAGCCTTTTTGACTGTTATAGCGCCACCTGTGGTCTGATCTCTATGAAACTTAGCATGCTTGTTTAGAATCACCTGTTGCATGTGCTCACCTAGTTTCATGAAGTTTTGAGTTTTCGTTTAGGCTTTACAGGGCTTTTGGGTATATTTGGACGCGCCCCTTTTCTAAACGACCCAGTTATAACTACCCAAAGGGTGAAGTTCAACATTTTTTAATAATTATTGATATAGAGAGTCCAGAGAATTGTACTGCAGTGGTTTTTCCGAGATTGAGCGAAAAACCTAGGGCTAGTTTGCAAAAGTAGTTTTTTTACATATTCTCAATTATTTAACAAACAATTTGATTGACAGCAGTGGTTCTAGAGGCAAAGTTGTTCGGAATGAGGAGGTCTAACAGATGATATGAATATTGTGTGTATGTGTGAAAAACCGCGCAATGTACAATCAATTACGCCCTTGAAAAATGCAATATCGCCCCCCAGTGGCCGATTTCTTTCAAATGTCTCACAGACCTTTAGGGCCGTGAGTCAAACAAGCCCACTGAGTTTCATTACGATCGACCTCCATTAACCTTGTCTAATAGGTGCTCAAAATTCATTGGCCAATGGCGACCATGTTTTTTGAGATACGCTAATGTCCTCATAGAAACTTCTGGCACATTGGACAAAGACACTACGTTCCAATTTTCATGTTGATGAACTACCAAATTTTGCTATAAGTTGATTGCATCATATAATAATTGCTGTTAATAGTGTTCATCGTCTGTTTGATTACGTCTTTAATTGATCTTTCCGTACATTTCTGCCATATGTACATTAACTGACAGTCACCACTGATAAGCTACTACTAAATATATTGTAGAAACTTAATTTTCTGTAAAGCAACGATTTGTATTGTGAAAAGCGCTATACAAATAAACTTGAATTGAATTGATCGGACAAATGGCTCGGCTAATGTCCGTCCCATGCACTGAACGCGCTCTCCTCCACATCACGAGTAGACACGCCCCTTATTGCTGATTGGCTACAAGTTTGTTTTGAGATTCGGCCCGAATCAGTTTTCTAAAGTGTTTTTGAAAAATCACTTACTCTGCCTTTAAGGATGCACCTTTTTTCTGTCTATTAAAAGGAATTTATAGTTGACCAGTTAATAAATTGGACGGAAAAGTGTACATTTTTAGGTGCTGCAGCTGGTCATTGTTTTACCTTGTTTATTTGTGTATTTCATTCAAATACTCCTGTAGTATACAATAATAACAATAAATATAGCTGCAAGCAGTGATTATTGGGGTTCAAGTGCTTTAAGGCATTTAAGCACATATGAAAAAAGACATTACGTATTATTTAGCAAGCCTGTAACCACCTAAATCAATGATTTAAAAAAGCATTTTTGGCAAATCCAGGTAATTAACCATAGAAATATGACGATTTTTTAATGTTTATGACTGTTACAGCGCCACCTATGGCCGGAGTGGAGGAGTTTGCCAAAGTAGGTTTTTTTAAATAATGTCAAATATTTAAAGAACAGTTTGATTGACAGCAGTCCTATAGGCAAAGTTATTCAGAATGAGGAGATCAATCGTACGAAGTGAAGATCTAGTGTATGCGTGAACCATAGACATATAGTTTACCATAGAAATATAGTGTTTTTGAAGCCTTTTTGACTGTTATAGCGCCACCTGTGGTCTGATCTCTATGAAACTTAGCATGCTTGTTTAGAATCACCTGTTGCATGTGCTCACCTAGTTTCATGAAGTTTTGAGTTTTCGTTTAGGCTTTACAGGGCTTTTGGGTATATTTGGACACGCCCCTTTTCTAAACGACCCAGTTATAACTACCCAAAGGGTGAAGTTCAACATTTTTTAATAATTATTGATATAGAGAGTCCAGAGAATTGTACTGCAGTGGTTTTTCCGAGATTGAGCGAAAAACCTAGGGCTAGTTTGCAAAAGTAGTTTTTTTACATATTCTCAATTATTTAACAAACAATTTGATTGACAGCAGTGGTTCTAGAGGCAAAGTTGTTCGGAATGAGGAGGTCTAACAGATGATATGAATATTGTGTGTATGTGTGAAAAACCGCGCAATGTACAATCAATTACGCCCTTGAAAAATGCAATATCGCCCCCCAGTGGCCGATTTCTTTCAAATGTCTCACAGACCTTTAGGGCCGTGAGTCAAACAAGCCCACTGAGTTTCATTACGATCGACCTCCATTAACCTTGTCTAATAGGTGCTCAAAATTCATTGGCCAATGGCGACCATGTTTTTTGAGATACGCTAATGTCCTCATAGAAACTTCTGGCACATTGGACAAAGACACTACGTTCCAATTTTCATGTTGATGAACTACCAAATTTTGCTATAAGTTGATTGCATCATATAATAATTGCTGTTAATAGTGTTCATCGTCTGTTTGATTACGTCTTTAATTGATCTTTCCGTACATTTCTGCCATATGTACATTAACTGACAGTCACCACTGATAAGCTACTACTAAATATATTGTAGAAACTTAATTTTCTGTAAAGCAACGATTTGTATTGTGAAAAGCGCTATACAAATAAACTTGAATTGAATTGATCGGACAAATGGTTCCGTAGTTATAGCCATTTTTAAGTTTTTTCCCTCTTATAGCGCCACCAAGTGGCCAAGCTACATGATTTTTTTCATGTGACCTCAGACTGAGCTCCTACATGAGTGTTCTGAGTTTGGTGAAGATATCTCATTCCGTTCAAAAGTTTTAGGCGTTTTAGTAAAAGCTGCCGAACGTTTTGGCGTCCCTCTTTGATAATTATTGATATTCACTCTCCAGAGAATCTTTCTGCACTGGTTTGGTTCCAATCGGGTGAAAAACCTAGGACTAGTTCGCAAAAGTAGGTTTTTCAAAAAATCCAAAATACCCGAGGATTCCAACGATATAAGGCACTTGAGCCTGCGACTAACGGTTTAGGAGATATGAGCGATTTCATTCTTTTGATCGCTGTAGCGCCCCCGTCAGGCCGATTGGGGCGAGCTTTGGTGACATTGTAGACGGTGTGAGTACTAGCATCGCTCCAAGTTTCAAGTCTCTACGACTCACGGTTTGCTCTACCCGATCAGTTTTAGGTGGAGATTGCTGATCTTTGGCCATTCTAACAATTACAATAAGGTTTCAGTGCTACGCGCTTGAACCCCTAATTAACTACTTGATTAAGTACTGGGTACACCTCATATAGTTTAACAAGAACAAATATCTGCCACACTGAAGAACATTTGCTGTAGAAACAATTTTCAATCAGAAATTGCAAGTGAATTTACAGATAAGTACAAAGAAACAGCAAGTAACACACTGAGCTAACATATTTCAATAATCTGTTTTATGTACAACTTTTGTTTTACAGTGCAATGGGGCCAGGAAAATTACCTTGTTTTCCATTTGGATTAATTTGGATATTTGTTCTGGTTTTAATCTCAAACTCACTTTATTCTGATCAATTTCTATTCTTATCTTCTGTCATTTTGCATCTCCAGTAAATGTGTCTTGATTTAAGAATGATTTAAGAATGTTTAGATATTTGTACTGGAAAAAAATACTGAGTAATACAATAATTTTTCGCCTCGTTTAGTGAGATTTTGATTTGGAAAATCTTAAAAGACAGGCATACGTAAATGTGGGATCAATAATCCATCATAACAACACCGTTTACTCATATAGAGAGTATAAATCTCAGTCCTGAAGGTCTGAAATGAAAATGAATCTATTTTATGGCCATTAATATTTTTTAGTTTAGCGTAATATTTAACCCTCATAATGCATTCGGCTCCATTTTGACCTGGAAGAGATACATAAACATCTCTAAAAAAAAAAGCATAGTTTTTAGTAAGGGAATGAAACTTTGCAAATGCTTTAAGAATTTCAAGATAAACATCTTTTTCAGATTTTATACAATTCTTTTTTTGGAGATTTAAAACATATTTGTGTTTGGGTCATTTTGACCCGGGTATGTATGGAGCACCATTAGTGTCAAAAATACGTTTTGTAAAATTATCTACGAAGTTATATTAGTGTCAAAAAAAACATTTACATTTAGGCTTTTTCTACAGAGTTTGAATGCATTATCAGGGTTAAACACAACTGCGGGGAAAGCGCATGTTACATAATAATGTCCCAAAATAATCAACATCTTAAAATTTTTCTTTTGGTTTTGAAGTAAATATTGTTGGTTAAGCGTAACTGCATGCCTCTCGTCGCTGAGCTCCGGCCCGTTTCTCCTTGTTCTTTGGCTCTGCTGGTGTTGTTTAGATGTCAGCGGCTCTTGAGGAAATCCAGACATGCGATTAAAATGACGCATGTCATGAAAAGTTTACCAAAAATGTTCTGAATCTCCGCTGTGGAACAGATTCTTTTGTTCCAGACAGCAGCGTTTTTCATTTCTGCACTCTATAACCTGGTTAAAATCTCCTGATGACTGACCTACTCGAAGACATTAAAGTTCAGATCAGGTTTAGGTTAAGAGCAGGTTAAACACTCACTAAGCCCACTCGTGGTTTCCTGGACAGGTCATATACGGCGTGTAAGCAGCGATGGACTGGATCTGCCGCATGAACTCATCCCCGATCCGGCCGTTATCCTGATTAAACACACACACACACGCACGCACGCACGC